GATTCCTGATGATGCAGACATGTTTTCCCCTTGGGAAAACATGATTTTGTGCTCCAGGAGAGGACCTCCCCCCAGAAGGCCAAGATCAAGCTTGGAGCCGACTTCACCCCTAAGAATGTCTCCCCCCAAAAATCCCAAAGGTGTTCCCCAATGAAGTGTAAAGTAAGCCACAAAATAAAACCTTTGAGACAGATTTTTTTAAAAAGTATTTCATGTCATTTATTGTTACTACTATTATTTTGTCTTCACGATACATTAATATCTTTTATTTTCATTTGTTTCAATGAACTGTTAAGCCGTGAATTTTTTTTTTTTTGGGGTCCAGTCATGGGGCCTGAACTCTGGGCCTGGGCACTGTCCCTCAGCTCTTCAGCTGCAGGCTAGGGCTCTACCACTTGAGCCACAGCGCCACTTCCGGCTTTTTCTTTTTGCTTATGTGGTGCTGAGGAATCGAACCCAGGGCCTCAGACATGCAAGGCAAGCGCTCCACCACTGAGCCACCTTCCCAGCCCCAAAGCCATGAAATGTTTCTATCTGAATATTTATAAATTAAATTGTCAAGATCATGGACACACCCCTCTGAAAACCAATTTTTGTGTATTGAGGGGTGGTATGGTCCCGACTGGGAGTCCATGGCACATGGATATTTTTTTTTAATTTAATTTTATTTGTGAACATACTGTACAGAGGAGTTACAGTTACATGGGCAGGATAATGCGTACATTTCTTACCAAGCATTGCAGCCTCCTCCTTTGTTTACCCTTCACATCCCTTCCCAGCCTCCCCCCTCCCCCCCTAATCCCAATCCTTCTCCTTCCCCCCCTTCCCCGGCACATGGATATTGATGCACTGTCTTCACTTGCTGTAATAAATGTGTTTATGTAGCAACTTAGTCAAGCAATAGGTATAATATCTACAGAAAATTTTATTTAAATGCACATGTTTTGCATTTCATTATTGTTAGAGAAAATTAGACTCAGCCAGAAAACCACTCTAGGTAGGAAGAACAAAGGAAAGGTTTATTGCCAGTAAGAGGACCAGCAAGACCCCATCTCTGGGATTTGGGGGAATCTTGCTGCCTTATATGCTCATAGCTATCCCAACAGGGTGCTCTCTCGGGGAAAGGATGGTAGGGGCTGATCATTTGCTGCCCTTACTACATGGGCCTATTGTTGCCTAGAGAAAGAGCATGTTAACCCATGAGGGGGAAGGCTTCTGGGCTAACAATTATACAATGGTAAATGGGCTTTATTACATGTATACTTCTTTTCCGTCTATATGGCAATGCCTTAGACATTTATATGCATCTAAGGGTATTTGTTCTAGCAGTTTCTTCAAGTTAATAAACGTTACTAAAAAAGAAAGAAAAAAAAAAGTCTCCCTTTGCTGTGGCTGGCAGGGGGCTAAGCACATCCAGACTGGAGTGGCCCAGGCCACACCCTCCCCTACATCAACCTCCAATCCTGAAAACACTCAGAATCTTTCCTTCACAATCCCCTCCTGATGTCAGGACGACAGTGGCTCTGTGGGTCAGGCCACCAGCCACCTTCGTTGGATGCTCAATCGAGGACGCACTCCGGATCTTTTATCTACAATGTCCTCTGAGGTCAAGGTGACAGTGGCAATGTGGCCCAGGCCACACATCACCTTCGCTTTCCTTCCCATCCAGGACATACTCACAGTCCTATAAAATCCTTGCCTAATGTCAGAATGACAGTTGCCATGTGGCCCAGGCCACCCTCCCCCCCCTTCCATTCACCTCAAATCCAGGATGCACGAAGGATCACTTATGCACAATGTTCTACTTGTATCAGAATGATGTCTGGCACTACATACACTGCCATGCAGGGACTCCCTCAATGCTTTGAGTGCCCTCTGCACTTTGCTATAGAGGAACAGCTGATACCTCTATAGAGCAATGGGCATGCACTCTCACCTGCCCCTGGCTCTGCCCTCTCTATTATGATCTGACTTTTCCACTGTGATGCAGGTCTCTGCGCCCTTTCCTGTGAGTTCCTTCTCTCCTCTCTAGGTTGTCTTCCTGTTGAGAGAATTTGAGCTCTGACCTTCCCTTCCCTACTCTTCAGCTATTCCAGCCTTTGTCAAGGTGCACCAGAGTTTCTCATGAGGGTTGATGGAGAGGCAGTGTGTGATGCCCACCCAAAATCCCAGGGCTCCAAAGGTCCTAGAGGAAAAAGCCTCTGCTGAGCCTCACTCCTCACCCCTCCACTAAGTGCAGACAGAGCCATGTGCTTCAATGCCATGACAGATGACTCACCATTCTACTCAGAGACAGCATCCTGGGCACTGGAGACCATAGGAGATTTAAATTGTTTCAAGTGTGGATTATTTACCTGTTTACATTGTATATGAATGCATATTGGAAAGGAAAATATTTACTTACAGGGATGAAGATGAGTGTAAGACACATGTCAGCCTTGACTCAATATCATATGAAAATTCTGTTTCTACTGGAGTCTGGTCATTGTGGTTTTCTTCCTGAATCTTGAGTGTGAATGAGACACTCTCATTTCCACACTTGGTGTGGCAAAGGAACTTTACAGGATGATAGTGACGGGCTGGGAAGGTGGCTCAGTGGTAGAGTGCTTGCCTTGCATGCATGAGGCCCTGGGTTCGATTCCTCAGTACCACATAAGCAAAAAGAAAAAAAGCCGGAAGTGGCGCTGTGGCTCAAGTGGTAGAGCGCTAGCCTTGAGCTGAAGAGCTGAGGGACAGTGCCCAGGCCCAGAGTTCAGGCCCCATGACCGGACCCAAAAACAAAAACAAAAACAGGATGATAGTGAACTTTAGACAGAAGTAGGGAATGAATACCACCACCCTTGTCCACCCAACACAGGGAGAGAATGTTCACCCTCCTCAGAGCAGCGAGTGCTCATTCCACTTTCTCTAAATAGTCTAAACAAGCTAAGCAAATCACAATTGCCACCCAAATGGTAGAGGAGGAATTGTCAAGTCCAGGCCTAGTCAGGGATGTACCCGGCACCCTTAGGGCTGGCTAGGGAGGTGGGTGGTTCTGAGAATCCACAGCTTGTAGCCTCTGCAAGGAGATCAGACTTAGTCACCAGGGGAGTGCTTCATGCAGGAAGATGCTGCTACTGATGCTGCCTCTACTGCTGCTAACATGTCAGAATTGAGGAATTGTTTCCCAATGCTAGTAAGAGAGAGGGAGCCAGGCCCAGGAGGCTCAGGCCTGTAATCCTAGCTACTCAGGAAGCCCAGATCTGAGGATTGTGGTTTAAAGCCAGCTGGGAAGGTGGCTCAGTGGTAGCGTGCTTGCCTTGCCTGCATGAGGGTTTGTCTTCTCAGCACCACATAAACAGAAAAGGCTAGAAGTGGCACTGTGGCTCAAGTGGTAGAATGCTAGCCTTGAGCTGAAGAGTTCAGGGACAGCGCCCAGGCCCAGAGTTCAAGCCCCATGACCAGCAAAAAATAAAAAATAAACTGAATCCTCAAGCAGTCCCGCCTTCTCTGATGTGTCAACTACATGGATGCCAAGCCAGCCCATACTCATTCCCACTGAGGAGGGCAAGACTGGTTTCCCCTCTGTTTGAAAAGAAAGAATGTAATCCTGGCCAGGCTCAGCCACACCTATAATTCCTGCAGTCAGGTGGGTAGGTGAGATTGGGGGGTGGAGGGTGGGGGGCGTCAGGTTTAAGGCCAGCTGGAGCCACCTAGTGAGACCCTATCTCAAAAAAGAAAAAGAAGAGCTAGGTGCTGGTGGCTCTATAATCTTAGCTACTCAGAAGGCTGACATCTGAGGATCATGGTTCAAAATCAGCAGGGGCAGGAAAGTCTATGAGACTCTTATCTCCAATAAACCACCAGAAAACCACAAGTGGAGCTGTGGACCAAATGGTAGAATGCTAGTCTTGAGCTGAAGAGCTGAGAGACAGTGTCCAGGCCCAGAGTTCAAGCCCCATGACTGACCAAAAAAAAGAAAGAAAGAGAAGGGGTTGGGAGACATGGTTCAGTTAGTAGAGGGCTAGCCAGTGAGCAGAATCGGCAGGTAAGGAGTTAAGTCCTCATCTCAGACTAAGGAAAAGAATGAAAGAGTGCTCTCTGTTGTTGGTTTGGTTTTTTGTTTTTGTTTTTGTCAGTCGTGGAGTCTGAACTCTGGGCCTGGACACTGTCCCTCAGCTCTTCAGCTCAAGGCTAGCACTGTACTACAGCACCACTTCTGGCTTTTTCTGCTTATGTGGTGCTGAGGAATGGAACCCAGGGCCTCATGCATGCAAGGCAAGCGCTCCACCACTGAGCCACCTTCCCAGCCCTCTCTGTTTTCTTTGTTGTTGTTGTTTCTTTTTTATTTTCTTTCTTTCTTTTTTTTTTTTTTTTGCTTGTTTGCTTGTTTGTTTGCCAGTCCTGGAACTTGAACTCAGGGCCTGGGCACTGTCCCTGAGCTTCTTTTTTTGCTTAAGGCTAGCTATCACTTGAGCCACAGCACCACTTCCAGCTTGCTCTGTTTATGTGGTATTGAGGAATCAAATCCAGGGCTTCATGCATGCTAGGCAAGCCCTTTACCACTAAGCCACATTCCCAGCCCCTGGTTTTTAACCAGGAATCTGGGGACCTAGAATTACAGGTGTAAACCACCAGTGCCTGGTGGATATCTAAATTGTGAAGCCAGGGATTTGTGGTTCACACCGTAATCTCAACTATTCAGAAGGCTGAGACCTGAGGATCATGGTTTAAAGCCAGCCTGGGCAGGAAAGTCTCTACTAAACTACCAAAAAAGCTTGAAACAGAGCTGTAGTTCAGGTGGTAGAGCACTAGCTTTGAGCAAAAGAAGCTCAGGGACAGTGCCCAGGCTCTGAGTTCAAGCCCCAGGCCATACTCTCTCTCTCTCTTTCACACACAAACACACACAAACACACACACACACACACACACACACACACACATCTGGCCACAGTAGACCCTGATGGGCCCCCTCCCCGCATCCAGCCCTGCCCGGCTCATGCTCAGAATCACAACAAAGCTTCCGTGCATATTTCCCATTTATTGTAGAAAATAATAATTAAAGTGATGAACAGATCTTAAATTACAAACAAATGAACGAGAAGTCAGAGGGCAGTGTGAGTCTCAGATTTCCTGGGAGCACAAAGCACCCCCCACCTTCCACCTGCTGGCCAGTGTCCTTAAGACAAAGAGGATTGTGGGGTGGGGGGGCAATCTCCAGGCATGGGGGTCCTGCCGAGGGGCTGAGCCACAGGGCAGCAAGGCAGGGCAGCTTTCCTCGCCTTGCCCTAGCCAGCACTTCCCAGACCAGTTTTTACTCTCAAACCTGTCCATCCACTCAGGCTCCATTCCTAGGGCAGGTGGGTGGGTGAGGCCTAGGTCACCGTCACCATCCGGAGCCCAGATCCACACCCAGCACCCTGAGGCCGGCTAGGTGTGCCCAGGTCCCTCCAGCAAAAAAAGAAAAGAAAAAGAAAAGCTGGAATTACCATCTGGGCAGAGTGTCCATCTGAGGTTGAGAGCTCAAGGTGGCCTTAGGAGATGTCCCTGGGCCTCAGTCACAGCTTTCCACAGCCAGGGGCCCAGGCCAGGGCCATCTTGAGGTGACTGCTGAGCTCATCAGTCCAAGCAAATGCCAAGTGACAGAGGGGACAGCGGGGTGGCGGTGCCTCACACATAGTTGCTGGCTGGGGCGGAACGGGCGGCTGAGTACTTGGCTGAGTAGGGCTTGTCCTGCCGGGGCGGGCAGCTGCAGCACAGCAGGGCCCCTCCAAGCAACAGTAGCCCTGACGCTGCCCAGCCGATGTACAGAGATGCTCCCATCTCCCGCTTCTGCCCTGATGCCACCAGAGGGTTGTAGAAGTCTCGGATGATGTTGTGCGCCGTCCAGGAAATGGGCACAATGACCAGGAGGCAGGCCAGCAGGAACACCACTCCTGACACGATCATGATCTTGGCTTTGGTGGTCTCGTCTTCCACGCAGTTGGTACATTTGCCCCCCACGATCGACAGCAGCAGAGCCAGGGCGGCCACAATGATGCTGATGACGATGAGCGCCCGGGCTGCCTGCAGGTCCTGCGGCAGCGCCAGCAGCGAGTCGTACACCTTGCACTGCATCTGCCCGGTGCTCTGCACCACGCAGTTCATCCACAGTCCCTCCCAGCTGGTCTGCGCTGTGACAATGTTGCTGCCGATGAAGGCCGTCACGCGCCACATGGGCAGCGCGCAGCTCAGGATGGCGCCCAGCCAGCCCAGCACGGCCAGGGCAATGCCTAGCATCTGCAGCCCCATGGAGGCCATGGCTCAGTGTCCGGAGGATGGAGAATGGCCAGAGGTAGGAGACCTCACTCTGCAAGCTGTACAATCCCAAAGGGCCACAGAAAGCCTCTTCTTGTGTGGCTCAGAGACACTGCTGACCCCTCAAGGCTGAGCCCCAAAAGAATCAGGTACGAGAGTAGCAAGTGCAAGCAGACAGGTTGCTCCCAGTTGACCAGCTCACCTCAGATCGCCGCTGATCTGATGGGAGGCTTCCCGTGGGTTGGATATATGGCTGACTGGGCGGGCGCCAAGGGAGGAGTTTCAGCCCTCCCGCCCTCCCATGACCAGTTCCTCTGGATTCCTGAGCCCTAGCCAACAGTCATGGAAAGGCCCCAGCCCTGGGCCCCTGAGTCACCAGCTAGTATCAGAGGAAACTGTCCCCTGCCCTCTCCCCCAGCCCACCAGGCATAAGCTGAGGTCAGCCTAGAGACTGACACTGACTCATCAACCACCCTAGGACACCTGGGCTCCCGCCCCAGGGAGGGGAGGGGCAGCAGCCTAGCCCAGCTAGGTTCACAGCCCGGATACCACACTAGGGTCTCCCATCCCCCCCCAAAGCTCCCATATGGAAAGAAAGGATGGGGGTCCCTGGGAGGTGGGGATCAGAGGGTGAAGTCCGTCTGGGAAGCTGAGAAGAAAACATCTGAACGATTGTCTTGGTGACTTTCATCAAGGCAATTAGCATGGTTATCTCTGGCATCTTTCCTGGCATTGAGGAGGCCATTTGGGAAAACACGGAACTGGGATGGGGCTCTTGGGTCCAGCTCCAGGTGGAAATCCCCCACATCCCCGGGGAGATGGCCTTGGAGTCACCCACTTGTGTGTGTGTGTGTGTGCGCGTGCGTGCACATGTGCACACGTGTGCCTTGAACTCAGGACCTTGGCCCTGTCCCTTGGCTTTTTCAGTTGAGGCTAAAGCTCTACCACTCCAGCCACAGCTCCATTTTCAGCTATTAGCTTGTTGATTGAAAAGTCTAACAAACTTTCCTGCCTGGGCTGGCTTCGAACCACAAACCTTTTATCTCAGTCTCTTGAGTATCTGAGATTACAGGTGTGAGCCACTGGTGCCTGGTGAGACAAGCACTTTCACTCCGCCAGGGAAAGGGACATGGAAGCCCCCTGCCTCCTCCTTTGGGGGCTGAGTCCGCAGAGCCAGAACTAAGTGGAAGAAATTAAGCCTCAACTAGGCCCTGTAAATGGTGTTTACTCTGGAGATAGAGATACGGGGTGAAGATGAGTTGGGTACAAAGTCTCCAGAGCCTTGGGAGGGAAGATAGCACAGGACCCAGGAGCTGGGCAATGCGGGGTCCCGCCTGGCACACCCCCAGGGGGCGCTGTGTCCTTATACTACAGAAACACCAAACAACTCAGAGTACCTTGCTTGGGGTCCCCAGGGCAATGGATGGGAGAAAGGGCTCTGTGGGAGGAAGTGAGGGGACATTCCTCTTTTCAGGAAGGAATCTTGATCCTCCAGAGCCTGGCAAGCCAGCAGGCAGAGACTGGGCTTTTCCAAAGGTGCTGAGCAGATGGAGAGGCCAGGCAGAGGCGGGAGGGGTGGCCAGGCCCTGACTGCCCTTGGCATGTGGGAGACATGAGGCTTCTCCAGCAGAGCAGGACAGAAAGGCTGGGGCCTGGGCTGGCCTCAGCCACCCTCACCCATCCTCCATACATGCATGGAGGCTCCTAGCGTGCGGGAGGTGTGTGTACACAGGAGATGCTCTGTGTGGACCAAGGCCACACATCCTGCTTCCCTGCTAGCTGGGCCTCTGACCCCCCCCCCCAACCCCCCCAGCCCCACACACGGGGTTTCCACCTTGGCCTTACAAAGCTCTGAGCTGAAGCTCACCTGCCAGGGCCTGTGGCCCCAGGTAAACACAACCTGACGGACAGGAAGCGCTTTCCTTCCTCACCTCACCCCCACCTCCCAGACTGTACACAGGGCAGGGCCTCCTCCTGCTGCCTCAGCACCAGGAGGTAAACTGAGGCCCAGAGAGAGGCAGGGGCTCACTCCCAGCGGGTAGGTGGGTCTGACCCAGGCTTCCCTTCCCCTCACTCCCACCCAGGAAGCTCTGTAGCAAGCTTTATGGGTCCAGCTGGGAGCTGGCCAGGTGACGGCCCCCCTCCCCCACTTCCTGCCATTGTGCCCCTCCCCTTCCTGGGCCACAGCCAAATGGCACTTGGGGAAACAGGAGTGGAGGAGGGGCTGCCCAGCCCTAGAACTTTCCACCTGTGCCCAAGGGGAAGTGACAAAGAAGCTGTCCACACCTGTGGGGCCAGCCAAGCAGATCAGGGCAGTGTGGGAGAGGGCAGGGGCTCGGGGCAGTGGGCAGGTGGGTGGGAAGGGGCAGGTAGGGCTGGGGGGAGGAGGCAAGGTGGGTAGGAGCTGCTGTCAGAGAAACATGGAGCCCAGAGGCACAGACTGGTTTGGTTGGTGCCAAGAGACAGGTGCCTTTGCCCAGCCACCCGCCACAGGAGAAACACCTGCCTGGCCAGGCACCTCCGCTCCGGCTCCTTGAGCCCCAGGGTGGGGAAGACAGGGAAAGCTGTCTCCAGCTCTCTGTCAGCCACTCCCAGTGCTTAGAAAAGCTGGGCTGCTGGCAGTGCCTCTGCCACCTCTGCATTCTAGTCCCTCGGTGTACCCAACACTTACCTTGTGTAGTTTATGTCCCTGGTATTGTATTAACTGAGTCCCATGTGCAAATGCACACCTGTCATCTCAGCACTCCAGTGGCTGAGGCAGGGGGATCGAGAGTTCCTCAAAAGAAAATTAATACTAATAATAAATACAATAGTAAAACAGCAACATATCCATGGCTCATGCTTGTGATCCTAGCTACTCAGGAGGCAGAGATCTGGAGGATTGGGGATGGTAGCCAGACAGGACAGAAAAGTCCATGAGATTCCATCTCCAAAATAACCAGCAGAAAGCCAGGCTTGAGGGCTAAAGGTGTGGCTCAAGTGGTAGAGCACCAGCCAAACAAGCATGAGGTTCTAAACTCAAGCCCTAGTATTACGAGAGGGAGAGGGAGAGGGAAGGGGGAGGGAGAGAGAAGAAAAAAGAAAGAGGAAGGCATAAAGAAAGAAAATAGGAAGAAAGAAAAAGAAAGTCTGGCAGCTCATACCTGTAATCCTAGATACTCAGAAGGCTAAGATCTGAGGGTCACAGTTTGAAACCAGCCCTAGCAGGAAAGTCCATGAAATTCTACCTCCAATTAGCCATCAAAAAGCCATCTTTTTTTGGGGGGGGGCTTGAACTCTGGGCCTGGGCTCTGTCCCTCAGCTCTTCAGCTCAAGGCTAGTGCTCTACCACTTGAGGCACAACGCCACTTCTGGTTTTCTGGTGGCTTATTGGAGATCCCCACCCAGGAAGCTCTATAGTGAGTTTTGTGGGTTTGGCAGGGAGCTGGCCAGGTGGGCAGAACCCCCTACTTCCTGCCATTGTCCTCTCCTTCCTGGGCACCCTCCGCCTCGTAGGGCACAGCCAAATGGTGCGGGAAGCAGGCGTGGGGGAGGGGCAGCCCAGCCCTAGAACTTTCCACCTGTGCTGGAGGAAGTAGCAATGAAGCTGTCCATCCCATCTCTGTGGGGCGGCCAAGCAGATCCCAGCTTCCTCTTTCACAGGTGTTTATTATGTGGGAGCTGGGGTGATTGCTAAGTGGCTGCAGGGGAGAAAGGCTCAGATCAAAGGGCACAGTGTCAGGGGTGCTGGGTACCCTGCTTTTATCCTGCTCTGAGTTCATCCAGGGCCCAGTGAAAGTGCCTTGTAAATTACCACTTACAGGAGAGACTCAGGGGCAGTCAGCCTCCTAGCCAGCTCCCTAGGGACCTGTACAAAGTCTCCCTGCTCCCTGAGCCTCCAGAACCCGAGTCCTCCCTGCCTGTGAACTTGGGGCCTCAGACTTGCTCGGGCTGTGCTTGCTAGGCTAGAACCCTACCATTTGAGCCACACCCCTAGCCCTGATTTTTGCTGATTATTTTGGAGATGGAATCTTTTGTTGGACTTTCTTGCCCAAGCTGGCCTCAAACCAGGATCTTCTGATCCTCAGATTTCAGCCTCCTGAATTGCTGGGATTACAGACGTGAGCCATCAGCCCTCGGCTTTTATTTATTAACCAAAGGCAATATAAGTCATAAAAAAATTTCAAGTACGGGGCTGGGAAGGTGGCTCAGTGGTAGAGTGCTTGCCTTGCATGCATGAGGCCCTGGGTTCGATTTCTTAGCACCACATAAGCAAAAAGAAAAAAGCCAGAAGTGGTGCTGTGGCTCAAGTGGTAGAGCGCTAGCCTTGAGCTGAAGATCTGAGAGACAGCGCCCAGGCCCAGAGTTCAGGCCCCATGACCAGACCCAAAAAAAAAATGTTTTTTTTTAAAGTAAATGATCCATGGAGTGAGGGATAGTAAAATCCAAAGCCCTTCTTTCCTCTGTGGGAATAAAAGTATTGCCTGGTTACGTCAGTGCAGTCTCTAGATTGTTCTGAAAGGAAGGTCACACAGCCGGCAGGCCCTGAGCCCTGGGGCTTTGGGACTTAGAGGATAATGGTCCTCCAGCTCTCCCGGCCAGTTCTCCCACCTGGCGCCCTCCCCCTCCCTCCCCCAGCAGGGGATCCCAGCTAGTCTTATGTCTGGGAAAGAACTGATAGCAGCAATTCTGCTCTGTGAAAAAAAGGAACTAGAAGCTGGCCTGGGCAGCCTCTGAGATCCTGGGATCATCCCAGCAGCCTTCTGGCTGCACACACACACACACACACACACACACACACACACACACACGGCTGAGGAGCAGAGAGCCCATACTTCTGTCCTGGCATACCCCTTAGGTTGTCTGCACATCCCCTAGGCCTGGGCCAGCTAATGACAGGCCTTGGACTCCTGGCCTGATTCAACTGGCTGAGTGGTCACTGGCCTTAGCCAGGCTCCCAATGGGCTAGAATAGAGGTGGCCACATCTGGGTCCTCCAGGGAAAAGAAAGAAAAGGCCGGGCTGATGCCTCCTAGTTGGGGTCCCAGGGTCCAGGCAGGTGAATGCTCTGGGGCTAAAGGGGAGATGGTTCAGAGAGAGGGGAGGGGGGGGAGGTTAAGGAGAGGATGAGCCATGGATACCTTAAATTACTTTCACCTAAAATACAGCCTGAGTGGCTCACACCTATTATCCCAGCTACTGAGGAGGCTGAGATCTGAGGATCAAGATTCAAAGCCAAACTGGGCAAAAAAGATTATTGACCAC